CCCAATGGAATTTTTGGAGAAATTTGCTGACAAAAGAGTGAGTATTAAAATGGCCTGATCACCCCACTGACACCGGCTTCGATTCCTGAACCCAACAAACCCGTTGAATCCCAAACTGTTTCTACATCTTTCCTGTAATAGGACTAGTAATATTATTAAGCGGCACTGTCCGAATGCCATGAATGCATAAATGCTGTAGGCCTACACTAATTATTTGTTCCCTTTTGATGCAATGAATTTGCCCACAACTTAACACTGTTTTTCATCAACATCAATCACTTTCCTAAAAATGATCTAAACCTAGTAAAGTTCATCATCGTTTCATGTCAGTGATTACAGTCATCCGATTTCCAAAAGCAAGTTGATGTTTGGCGTTAACGTTAGGCCTGAAAACACCACGTAAACAGTGGTTTTTTACCTTGAAATTCAAGCTTTGGCCAGTCACGAACGTCGTCCTTCCACGCATCCATAGTTTTTTTTTGCAGAATTCTTATGCTCAACTACGGGGGAGCCAGGTTGGCGTAGCAATACTTTCCTCGCCTTCCACCGCTGTGACCAGGGTTAGAATCCCGCCTCGGCCAATATGTGGATTGGGTTTTCAGTCCCTACCTGATTCCATGGGTTTTCCCCAGAATAGCTTCTGGGCTGGGCTTTTCCTCTCACCTCTTTGTCATGTTTGTGAGGGCTCCTTTGGAAAGCAGTTTTTTTTAACTGGAATGGACTAGGGGGAGTAGGGGTCCTACCCTCACGTTACAGATTAGGCCTACAACTTACAAGTTAACAACAAATAAAAAATAAATAAATAAACCTCTAAAACTATAGTTTCTTCTCACTGTCTCCTCTCTAAGTTGGTGTGATGTTTCCCCTGGGATGTTTTACCGACTATATTAGATACAGAACTCACAGTCAACCGTGCGTGTTTGTATTTGTTCGCACTTAATAAAAACTAGACTGGAAATTGTCGCTGTACAAAATTGTTTATATTTGGCGCCCGCCGCGATTGCTAAGCGACACTGGCCCCCTACAATGTCCGTGTCGAATGAGGGCGCCCCTCCATGCATAGTCTATCGGATTCGTCTATACGCATTTTGAAACTACCGAACGACTCGTGTATGTATGAACATGTCACAGTTGTACATAATACTGCCCAGAAGAAAATCGTAACCAACTTAAACATTTGCCATCAAAGAGTCAATGCAAATATATTCGAAACACTCACTAGTCTGATTTTTCAAAAATAACTGCACAATTTTCCATGTGGTGGTCAATACAAAAGTGGTACATTTTATTTAGGCCTAGGCCAACATTAAAATACATCATAGACCCTATTTTATTTACATTTTACAGGCAATGACATATCGTTTTAAAGTCTTAACTGGAATGCATGTTGTAGTTTTTCCCTGCATTGATACATCAACCATCAGGGAGGGATAACATTTCCTAAAAAGTAAAATCTAGTAGGGAAAATATCGAAGCATTTAGTTGGAAAAGAATTGTCAGGAGGGTGTAAAGTGGCGTACATATGTATATGGAATTCTCTCCGAGAAATGACTCAAACCTGGACTCAGACTCGACGTAAGACTCAGACTTTGAGTTAGATTTCAACTGAGAGACTTCATAAAGCCGAAGCGGGACTTAATTCACAAAACAAATCACTTATTGAATATCTCTTTCAACAATATCATTACATACATTGTGTAGCGATTTTGAAAATCAAGATCAAAAACATGAACCCATCGTCTACAGTCAATATTTGGTAAATCATGCAAGCTTGATAGGGTTCGGTACGATATTCATTTCCCAACACTGGCCTGCATGTACATGTACATGTATTCATATTAGAGAGTAGCTGTGAAAATATTGGAAGCATTTACATACTGTGAGACTTACTAGTAGGCCTACCTCCAAATTTATTTCCAATATTAAACATGACTTTGACGCGACCCTGACTCGGACTCAGATTCGCCTTACATGACATGGCACTCAGACTCGGGAGCAATGACTTATACTCGATTCTTGATGATCTAAATACAAGACTTGACATGACAATTTGTGACATGCACACTTGGCGTACAACGCCGTACATGCCGAAATGCATCAACATGTATGTACAAAACAAAACAAATGTTAGCATATACAGTAGTACATGTGTGGCGCCTACATTTCTTCTGATGTGTTATGTCATGTATACATGTACATTTTTTACATGCACATGTATGGATGCAAACATGTTTTGATGCATATTTACATGTACATGTACATGTATGAACATGCACATAATAGATTAAGATGTGGCGAATTATAACATAATGGCAAATCCCCCCTGCCTTGCACAATGGTAACAGTCTTAATAACATTAAACCAGTTCATATAAAAATAAACCTACCCCCCCCCCCCCCAGTTACATAGTAATTACTTTTGGCAAGGTCAGGCGTTATCTGTAATAAATTAACTAACTTTGTTTGCATGGACGATGGTTGGACTACTCCAGTAACTACTTCTATTTATAGTTTCCTTGTTGCGCTTCCATATTTTGGTACATGCAGCTTTCTTCCTATTTTTGGCGTGGTGGCGACATGATGGCGGCGCATGATGGCCATGAGTTTGGCAAGTTCTCCCCGCATTCCCTGGACTACCCTGCCGGTACGGTTGAACTCCGAGTGTATTAGTTCCCCGCCTTGTTCGTTCAACAGACCAAAGCCCACTCTGAATCTTTGTAACTGTTCTACGGCATGGTCCTCCAGCAGGTGCAGTTTGGGTGTTATTTGGGCTGGAATCAGTCGCCTGTATGCTGCCATCAAGTCCCGGATGCATGTATCTGTTGAAACAGGGTCGACATAAAATATTTGTACTGTTATAATGTGGGGGGGGGGGGGGGTTCTGCATTGGGAAAGGGTTCACTAAAGTTACAGCATCAAGATATGTTGAATGCTGCATATCTTTGTATGTGTTTTTATTTTTCTATTGCAAGTTAAAACAATTTTGTTTGAATTATGTACATACTGTGGCGGGAACCCCCCGGGCCAACCCAAGTCTGTTAGGATAAGTCTGACTCCTAGTGGGGTGAAGACAATCTTCCCAAACCAAGGCTCTTCCCTAGACGAGAGATCACTCAGAGCGACCTTCAAGGTTAAGGGTGCAGGTCCGTTTTGGTGGAAATCTACCGCCCGATTATGAATGAGTGTTGATTATTTATCTCTGTTAATTAACTGCACAATAAACCTGTAAACTTAAACACCGGAAGCAGAATTGTCGGTAATCTCAAACAACAATGATCGTAATTTATTCAACAATAATCTAGTACAACAATTAGCATGTGATTCGGTGGGTTGTTTTATTAACAGGGTCCTTAGTTACCGGAGATAGCCCGCTGCTTGCCTATGCAACAACGCACACAGCATTAAGCACTAGACAACAATGGCAGCAATGAGCAACTATGCACAGCGCTAGGAATGAATCACCGAGTCAGCAATACACAGCGTTACAAGCACACAACAGCCGCTTAGCAATGTATACATTCCTATAGCAGGGTACCCACTACGCCGCGTGTGTAAGCCAGAATTCAGCCACACGTACCAGCGCAACCCCGGTACAGCTACACAGACTTTGTACACAAATCGCCTAAGCAATTTCACATAGCAGAGCACAAGTAATTTACCTACTTCCCTGCCCGCTGTCGCAGCTACGCTCTAGCCCGCTACCTCCAGACACTCGGCACTCAACACCCAAAACAGCTGAGCCCAGAACCTAGACACACTAGTATCTTCTAAAGCCAAACCGTTAAGCTTCCTGATCTAGATCTGAAAACAGAACTAAAACGCGCGCGCTCTCCAGGCACGCATTTATATACATGAACCAGACGCTACGTCATGTCTACAAACCATGTGCGTGTACTAACCCTATGGTGCGCTTAACCTATGGGGAAAATTGGCCAATCACGTACGCGCAGCAGCCCACGGAGCTCGTAAGCTCCGCCCGGTCACTGCACACAAGTGATTAAGCGTTAGTGCTATGGTATGACGTCACAACTAAACACTTTCCGCCACAATACCAATGCGATGAGTTTGATCTTGTGTCACTGCAGATGTATGGTTTATACCCTTGTGTACATCAGCAAACTTGAAGAAAAGCTCCTGGAAGTTTACTCTAATTTGAGCAGCTTCACGTCGCAGTCTGTCATGTGCTGCCAAGGGGATGTCGTCAGTCAGGCTTTTGTCGACCATCTCAAGAGGAACTGCAGTAAGTGCTTTTATAATGGAGGGCTGTTAAACAAAACAAAAAAAATGGTGATTTACTATTTCCTTGCTTTTTGTGAAAGTTCCAGCCGTGACATGCCTGCGTAACATATGTTGCTCTTGTATTTTGTTTACAAAAATGTTGTGTACCAAGTTTAAGAATATGCAACTTTATGTTTACCTCGCAGCACTTGTGGACGTGATTTCCGACTAAAGCCTTTCCATGATAAGCCTGTCTCTGCACTCGATGTTGCTGAAGGACGATCTCCAGAGAGCTTACAACAGGTCCAGTGGCAAATGAAAGTTGCACTGTTGCAGCTTCTCTCTCCTGTTAAAATGACACGGCATGGTAATTTAAACAATTGACATTTCCGTTAAATATAAATAAGTGAAGGGTATGATTTCTATAATGCTGTTATAAATGTAATTACCAATTTTGATATTTCACCGCGGAGTTTGAAGGCCTTTTTTGCTATTTCGAGGAACGCGTCGTCCATATTTGCCGCAGCAGTGCGTAGAACGTGCAAAGGGAGCTCATCCTTGTAATGTGTTAACGTATTACTGTTAATGTTAAAGAGCGCCCTCTCTTGAGTTTGAATAATCGACACCGGAGAGTGTCTCTTGCAAAATGGCCGCCACGTTTAGTCGACTCTTTCTAGTGCCCGCTCCCCTAAAGATACCACAAAATTGGCGACGAGGATGGGATATTGAGGTACCAGAGTCTTAAATAGATACGATAAAGTTATAGATTACGATAATTATAGGATGGCGGCAGTCATCGGAAAAGTGGATGAGTTTGACGAAGGAAAGGAAACCTTCACGTGCTATTTGGAAAGGTTGGACCAGTTCTTCATTGCCAACGACATTAAGGATGCAAAAGCAGTAAGTGTTTTTCTTACGGTCATAGGGCCGAAATCGTACTCGCTGTTGAAGTCAATGGTATCACCAGACAACGTGAGTGATAAATCACTGGAAGAACTGAAAACTTTGCTAAAGAATCAGTACTCACCACAACCTTTGACAATTGCAGAACGCTTTAAATTCCACAAAAGAGGCCAGAAACCAGGTGAATCTGTGAATGAATATGTGGTCGAACTGAAGCGTCTGGAAACCACCTGCAAGTTTGTAAACTTCCTGAAGGATGCCTTAAGAGATCGACTAGTGTGTAAGCTGATCAACACCACATGTCAGAAGAAGCTATTAACCGAGAAAGAGCTGTCTTTTGACAAGGCACTGCAGCAGGCGGTAGCATTTGAGATGGCAAATATGCAATCTCAAAAAAATGACTGCCAAGCAAGTCTTCACTCCAAAGAGGAAACCAGCACCTACTGCAATAAGTGGTGAGCCTAAATCGGCACAGAACCAATCAGGTAATGGGAACTGCTACCGGTGCACGGGTCGACATTTGCCAAGGGAATGTCCCTTCAAAGGAGCAACATGCTATTGTAATAAAGTTGGGCACATTTCCAAGGCATGCAGAAAGAAACGGTACCAGAATCAGACACCCAAGGATGGCAAGTCTTCACATTCGGTGAAACACGTGGCCGCAGACGCGGACAGTGATGAATCAGGCGACTTTCTGGTAGTAGGGAGATGGACAGGCACTATTCCAAATCCCATTATCTTTCCCTCCTTAATTACCCCCTCCCCTCCCCCTTCCCACTTAGCCCCGCCCCCTCCGAAATAGATCCCCCTCCCCCAAAATAGATCCCCCTTCCCCAGATATATCTCCCCCTCTAGCTCCCCAAATATGTCTCTTCTCTCTCCGAGTTGTTATATTATAAAGTGGGGGGGGGGGGACGGCGACGAACCCCATATCTCCCTCTGTCTAGGCACCAGACCAGGCTCTTATCAGTCGCCGTCTTGAAGATCTCTATTTAGACTCGCAGTGACTGGTACGCCCCCTATCAATACTTACAAATAAATAAAAAACAACGTTTTCTTAGGTTTACATGTCTGAGTTTTTTTACCCTATTGAAAACGGATGACTTTACCATTACAAACATGTAACTTTAACAAAAATAATCTAATAAACATAAATTAAGAATGATGTCATCAATATTATTAGTAAAGAGAAGCATGCTTCTCATCTAACAGTAAATTAAGTTTCATCGATAAGAATGATGTCATCAATATTATTAGTAAAGGGAAGCATGCTTCTCCTTTAACTGTAAATTAAGTTTCATCGATAAGAATGATGTCATCAATATTATTGGCAAAGGGAAGCATGCTTCTCCTCTAACTGTAAATTAAGTTTCATCGATAAGATTGATGTCATCAATATTATTAGTAAAGGGAAGCATGCTTCTTACAATACTTACAAATAGATAAAAAAACAACGTTTTCTTAGGTCTACATGTCTGAGTTTTTTACTTAGAACGAGAAAATTATACTCGTCGAGACTATATTCAAGCCATAAGGGCTGAAGAGAGTAAATTTAAAAACTTGAGGAAAAAGAAACTACATGAGCTCAAACTGATTGTAGACGAACACAATCTAGAATACGTACCGACGGGTTATAATGGTCGATTTTTGAAAAAAAGATTTATTCTCAGCGATCAAGAGATTTAAATCTCCCGAAGATTTTCAGGAGGCTGACTTCAGAGGTACGAGAAGGTGTAGAAATAACTTTCGAAACTGGGAAATGATTCCGAGACAGTTTAATAATGACGTTAAACTGGTTTTTTTCGCACTCACGAGCGACAGATCGAAAGCAAAGTGGTATCAGAACTGAGAGAACTCACTAACACGAAGCTTCAGATTGCGATTACAGTGAGATATGTTAAAAATGTACCTGATTAAGAACGGGTGACTGCTGAATTTACCTTTATCGGTAACAATGTGGTTATTTTGAGGGAGAGTCAGGTAAAGCAAATTATTAAAGAAGCGATCGATCAAGTAAAAGAAAAACACGCGAGTCATACAAATCGAGGATCAGGTTGGGTAGTCGATAAAATACTCGCGCTTTACATTAACGTAAACCGTTATGCTCAAGCAGGAGGTAGTTCTTACAAAGAGCTACCCGACTATCTCCAAAATAAAAAGGCGATTATCAACGTACAAAACAAAGACAACGAATGTTTGAGATGGTTTTTGAGACCCGCTCTTGGTAAATATTCGGACAAAGTAAAAAAGCGAATCGAAAACCACCCAAAATATCAGGTCCATGAAGAGAGAACTACGATATACAACACGAACGATGGATTGAAATTCAAAAATATAGACTTTCTCACACCAGTGGATCAAATGTCTAGGGTAGAAAGACAAATTAATCTATCGATTAACGTTTTTGGTTATACTGAAAAAGATAACATACATGTATTGGCATTATCTGGAAACAAAGATCCTACCGTTGAGGCTATCGATCTGTTATTGTTCTCCAACGGTGATAAGAGTCACTACTGTTGGATAAAACAATTTTCTAGATTTTTTTATACCGTAACGCCAGATCGGCACAAGAAATATTTCTGTCGAAGATGACTGTCACACTACGGAACGCAAGAAAAAATTAGACAGACACAAACAAGATTGTGAGGGAAAAGACAAACCTCCGTCTAAAATCGTTTTTCCCGAGAACAACGTATTAAAATTTAAAAACCACAGATTTGCACAGGACGCACCATTTGTCATTTACGCCGACTTTGAATCGGTACTAGAAAAAACTCAGCACGATAAAAAGGAAAACACGCAAAAGACAAACATTCACAAAGCAAGCGGTTATTCGTTGGTGGTCGTTAGATGTGATGGTGAAAATATGTATGGAGAAACTTATAGGGGCAAAGACGCCACAACTAAGTTTGTAGAGCAGATGTTACAATTGCAACGTGATATTAACTGCATATTTGGTGATCCCATACCCATTGAAATATGTCACAGGTCAGCCTGATATTTTACTCCAAGTGTAAGTTCCTTAGGATTTGTTTGAACTACGTGTGGCGAAGTTTGACCTAGTTCCTTTTATATACACATTTTATGCAAATTAAGGTGTGGCCCTGCATAGTTTACTTCTATGTGTGGCATGTGCAGGTAAACTTTCGTAAGGTTAAATTAGCATAATATACTGGCCCACTGAAGTGTGCAAATATACATGCATTGGGTGCAGTTTTAGTTAGAAGCAGACAGGCTCGTGGTGCGATAGCACAATGTAGAGCGATAGCTCCAACATTTTGAAGATTCAGCTACTTTTTTGCTGAAGTCTTACTACTGAGTTGATGTTTGAGAATCCAGATAAGGCGATAGCCTACCCTTCAGCAGCGTTAGTTGCAAATAGATTTTTCCTGCCATTTTGGCTGGAAGTTCGCCTGGTCTGAAGGGCTGTGTTTTAGACAGCGAATTTTGCATCCTCTGACGGTCGTCCAAGTTTTAGGAGCCAGTAATATACTGTAAGTTTCATTTTAATATTTGTTTCATTAGTATAAAGTAATGAATTCATTTAAACATCAGTGAATGTATCAATTTTGCTGTATTGTACCTTGTGCATATTTGAATGCGTTACGTTGAAAATCTGCTTTATGGGACACGCCCCTTTTGGGCTGATAAAAATATTTTTGTGTGATCAGTTGATTCTATAATTACAGCCTGAAAATAGGGTAGGTGGTTATTGAGTGGTCGGGCACAACCCGACCACTGTCTAGAATTGTTCCGATTAATCTTTCTTTCTTTCTTTCTTTCTTTCTTTTTTTTCCGGACAATACTTCTCCGCGGGTTTACTCCTAAACCGTTCAAGATATAAACTTGTAACTTCGAACACATATCGACCCTGATCCCGAGTAGTGCATATTGTCCTGACGTCATGATGACGTCATCAGGTATCAAATTACAAGCAATTTAGTGTTTCTATTTTTTAATCATTACAAATCGATATAAAATCAACCGTGAGAGACCGGAGCTTGTTTTTAGCGGCAGTCAATAGAATAATACTGGGTCTTCAATTTACTTCATGGGTGTCAAATCATACGACCCTTACTTCCGGTCGAAACCGGTCGAACCCAGAAGTGCCTTGTAATTTAAAAATGGTAAAAGATATGAACGTGCTTTCAACGATGTAAGTCTTCGGGAAGAAAGTACTTTTCGAAACTGTAACCAATGACGTCATGAAATATTAGAGCGCCCTCTAGCGGCAGGTTGAAAAATGTCCAAAATGCATTTTGAATAGATGTCTGTGGCGAAGTTTGCTGTAATCTTTTGAAAATTGGTATATATAATGACCTTCATGCAAACAACACATGTGTGAAGTTTGAAGCCGATGACGTCATCAGACCGGAAGTTACAACGAAAAGACTTTTTATTCTTCAAAAATCGTTAAAAAATCAATCGTGAGAGATATAATCTTAAATTGTCCATTAAATGATAGATTAAACATTGGCGTCAGTTGTGCCAGGCACATCTTACGAACTCTGAGCGGCGATTTGGCGAATATAAATGTTTGTTTCTGTTTATAAATTTACCTTTGGATAGTAAATATTATTTCGGGTTTTTTTTCAGGCAAAAGGTATTGGGAGTTCATGCTGAAAACAGCTTACCATTTAAAATGGCTCCAGTTATGATTGGACACATTAATACATGCAAATCAATGAACATGCATCATCTCCGAATAACATCAGTATTCACTACCCATATTCACTTTTTCTAGTTAAAAAAAATAATACATACTGACATTGATCACTACCTAAAAGAAACATTTTGAGACAAAATGATTAATTTTATCAGACAGTTTAAATTTCGTTATCCTTGGTACATGTTCTTACATAAAACAATATTCATAACTTAACTGGACAGTGTTTCATAAAATAGTTGTCTACCCGACCACTCTGCGTTTGTAACAACAAACGCGAACCTCTAGTTATTATATTTAATATTATTTCAGGGCTCCTTTTTGTGGAGTTAAGTCCACACGCCTTTCATTGTTTGATCCACCCATTGGTTGGGGACTGCGCCGATACATCCCGACGGTCGATACATCCCTGAGGCCCTTCCGCTCAAGACCAAGGTCGCGGACATCTTGTCCTCCAAGCCCCAAGAATAGTCCACCACTTCATAGTCAAGCAAGGACCGGTTCGTGGACCGCTGGACAGAGACTCATCCTAAAGTGAACTGTTAGCTTTTAGCCTTTCAGCGACTTCAGGTTGTAAAGCCTTTCGGTTTTGGGAGTGTCGATGTATGGTGAATATGTATGTATTAATATTGGTCCTATAGGTCATGAAATTAGAGTATGAATCTGGTGTTTGCATTTTATAATTTACTTAGCTGAATTCTCCCAATTTACTAATTTTGATATATTTGTGTAGATAGTGTAAATAAATAGTTGTACCCTATAAATTTGCCTGCATTTATGATTTTGTCTG